ACATATACATATACATGTATGTATATCGACGGTTCCGCACGAGGTTTGCTTCCCAAGCCGCGAGGATTGCATAGGGATCTCTTAAGGGCTCTATAAGGTTGGACAAGTGTTCTACAGGGTCTTATAAGCAAAAGCACATCTCGAGAGTCGTTGAAGACTTACTGGCTTGATATGGAGGTTTCCCAACTTGGCGATAACAAGTTTGGGGAGGGTCCTCCCAAGACCGGGTCAGACTGGTGGAGTCTTTAGGGATTAGAGTTTAGGTCTTAGACGTTTCGGTTTAGGGTTTAGGTCTATATTCGGGCCTCCGTTTTCTCAAAACCCTTCACCCACAGCATTGGGGTTTCAGGGCCATGGGCTAGATTTGAGGGTCTTCTAGTTCGGAAGTCCCCACCAGGAAGCCCCTGAACACAAAAACACCGAACAATCCAAAACCCTAGCGCCCTCAATCGAGATTAGGGTTCAGGGTTAGTGGCGTTACACCCATGTAAAGCCCTGCAATGGCCCTGCCGTTCTGTTATAGCTTAGAACACACCACTCAAACCCTAAACCACTAGATCCCCACAAGACTCTATAGCAACCCTATGAGAAACCATTTAAGGAATCACCCTAAACCCTAAACCCTCCTTGGATCAGCCAAAAAGCCTGCCTCGGAGGTGGCCAAAGCCTTGAGCACCGGCGCACAGCTATCCTTGCCGCTGCTTCAGGAAGGTTCTGGACTCCTAGGGTTTAGGGTTTAGGTTTCAGGGTTTAGGGTTTGCAGGTTAATATAGGGTTTGTACTACCCTAGCCCGAAACCCGAAAGCCCAAAAACGAACCGGGAGAGACTTGTCGCTAGGAAACCGGGTCTTGCAGCAACCCCGAAGAGCTTAAGAGTCCTCCGCCCAGGGGGTTTAGGGTTTAGCGCCTATACCTATAAAGCCGTATGAACCTGCAGTGCCCGTAAACTCTTCCCCCTAACCCTGCAGCGACAACTACAAACCTAAACCCACCTGCCTCTTAAAAGTAAGGCACCGCTTGGAGGCCTTAACTATAAGCACGCTGTATAACGTACCCCGCCTAATCACTCACAAAGCCATGTTCGAATCCTTGTTTAATATGAATGAAGCCATATAAATCCCCAAAGCCGTACAAAACTCTGAAAACCCAGCCTTGGTAAAGGCCATTCCAGAACCCGTGTAAACACCGTTGCAGTCCTGTACTGGGCTGTGCGTTGAACCCGGTAAGAAACATTCTTCACAGTAACTCAACAGACGAAATATTATATCACACCTAGCTGGACCTAGCTTGAAGTTTCAATTGGCACTGTTGGGCGTGGGAAACCCTAGAAATGTGATGCCCCTCAGCACGGGCACCCTTAACCCTAAACGATGAACCCTACACTCTAAAACCCCACACTTACACCCTACACCCTGAACTTTTCGGCCGCCATAGACCCTACGGTTGATGATATAAATCCTGCGTTACCTTAAGGACCCTAAACTATGGGAATTCTGGCGTGTTCCTTGTTGTGGGTAATGCAGGATTTATAACATCAACACTATAAACCCTAAACCTAAACCCTAAACCCATAAAAACCCCACTTGCTCAAGTTCCTGTTCACGTTACTACGCCTGTAGCGCTGCCCAGCAATGGATGAGCGAGTAGAGCTTTCAGCAATTTTCTGGTCTACCTTTTTTCACTTGATGCACTCCTTTGCTAGACTGTCCAGATTACCCAGACTTCCATTTGGGGTAACAGTTGGATCGACATAATATTCTCTGATAGTCTCTATGAGATAATACACTCATATACACCCCAATATGCTACTTGTGTATCAACAGCCCTATACTGATTCAAGGCTTCAAGCCCACTCCACAAACTTCTGATCAGCAAAGTAGATCAAGATGCTTTAAACCTTCCAGCCACGCATTGCAGCATCCAGCAAGCCCACCAGCTCCAAGTGGCCATACTGAGAGGCGATCATCAAAGCTGTGAAGCCGTTGCTGTCGGCCAAGTTGATGTCGGCACGGGCCTCCAAAAGCAAGCGCACGACTGCGACCTTGCCCTGCCGAGATGCCGTCGTCAAAGCTGTCAGACCGCGGCCGTCGGAGGAGTTACTGTCGGCATGTGCCTCCAACAGCAAGCGAGTGACTTCGCGATGACCTTGCGCAGCTGCGAATGTCAAAGCTGTGAAGCCGTTTGCCTCGACGAAGCTGTGGTCCAAGTCTTTGATGGCATGGGCCGCCAAAAGCCAGCGCACGACTTCGACATGAGCTCGCCGCGTTGCAATCGTCAAAGGTGTGGAGAAGCGGCTTCCAGCCAAGTCGTTGTCGGCACCCGCCTCCAGCAGCAAGCGCACGACTTCAACATGGCCTTGCCGCGATGCGGTCGTCAAAGCTGTGCAGCCATTGTTGTCGGCCAAGCTGGTGTCGGCATCGGCCTTCAGCAACAAGAGCACGACTTCAGCATAACCTTGCCGCGATGCGATCATCAAAGCTGTGGATCCGTTGCTTTCGGCCAAGTCTTTGTCGGCACCGGCCACCAGCAGCAAGCGCACGACTTCAACATGGCCTTGCCGCGATGCGGTCGTCAAAGCTGTGCAGCCATTGTTGTCGGCCAAGCTGGTGTCGGCATCGGCCTTCAGCAACAAGAGCGCGACTTCAGCATAACCTTGCCGCGATGCGATCATCAAAGCGGTGGATCCGTTGCTTTCGGCCAAGTCTTTGTCGGCACCGGCCTCCAGCAGCAAGCGCACGACTTCAACATGGCCTTGCCGCGATGCGGTCGTCAAAGCTGTGGAGCCGTCAATACCGGCCAAGTTTCTGTCGGCACCGGCCTCCAGCAGCAACCGCACCACTTGAACACGACCTTGCTCTGATGCGAGCCTTAAAGCTGTGCGGGGAATGCCGTCGTCAGAATCGACGATGATCAAGTCTTTTTCGGCACCTGCGCCTAGCAGCACGCGCACGACTTCAACATGGCCTTGCTCCGATGCGATCAGCAAAGCTGTCTGCGCGCTGGTCCCGATGCCATCTGGATCTTGGGGCAGCTGCATCATGGCCTCCACCTGAAGGCGTTGGCGATTTGACGGTTCTGCTTGAGGCAGCAACTCTGCCTGCTCTGTGCAAGTTGAAGATTCTAATGCAATGTCTCCAGCAAGATGCGAGCACTCAACACGTGCACGTGGGACGGTTTAGGATTTGAGAGGGATTTAGGACAGGTAAATTGTGTTTATGCAAGCAGCTGAGATGCATCCCTTGCAGCTCTAGACCAGCTTTACCGGAATTAAGGCTAGGCCAGACTCATAGATTCAGAGATAGGCAGTTTGACAGACAGACAGCTGGATAGACAGCTAGGTAGACCGACGGAAAGACAGATACTTAATACAGACGTGCACACATGGATTTGTTTTTTTTCCGAATTGTGTCTGTCTGTACATCCCCACTACGTAACTCAAGAAGATCCTTGAAATCAGATCAAGGATCCGTAAATAATTCAAGGTCTGCCCTTCGTAAACCCTATGGGGCAAGCCCGCTTGAAGCCTTCCGACCTGGGACACGGAGCCCTGCATAGCAGCGGCTGCAAGGTAGTTGACCTGCTTCAGAGAAACATCTGCCAATGTCAACAGAACGAGATCCAGGTTCATGGGCGAGTCCAACTTCACAGTGTCCTTCAAACTCTCGCCGTTGAACAGAACCCTCTGCCTAAATCGCGAGGGCAGGCCGTACACCTGATTCAAGTGCTGCTTCAAGCCCTTCACGTCCTGCACCTCCCCCACGGCTATACTCGCCAAAGCTTGCCCAGAAAGCATGGTGAGATTCAACATCTTCGTGAAATGGGGAATCCGGAGCGAGCAATGGAAAGGAGGCCTTGCACGTAGCAACAGCAAAGGACCTGGTAAGCCAAATCCTGCTTTGGGGCATTCGATGAAATGCCGACAAGCGCCGCAACCGGGTTCAGGGTTTCGAGTTGGTTTAGGGTTTAGGGTTTA